AAAGGAATCATTTTTCTAAATTTATTTATTTAAATGATGACAGAATGAAAGTCAAACTCAAAACACCACTTCTCACCATCACTTTCTTCTTGTGCTCCAATTTCTCTCCAGCGTTTTGTACCTCCTGATGCCTGGGGCAATTCCAGCAGAACAGTTGTCTCTCAGGCATTGCCAGAGCTTAGCTGCACTCAAAGTCTGTTTGTGACCCTTCATCACTGACCAGATTGCTTTCCCAGTTGCAATTGTTGGAGGATTTCTTTTCTCCTCTTGTAACCTCCTTCAATACCACCTTGAATTTTCATCCTCTAGGAATGAGTTTCCTACATTGTATCTCCTTTCTGAGTTTTGTTCTCCATGCTAAATTTTCACCCTCTGTTTGCTTGCTATTTCCTAACAAGTGTTTTACTATCACCTTTAAGTCAAAATGACAGCATCATTACTTGCTCATTCTTTATCTCTCCACTCCTCTTCCAATTACATGGGTCTTCTGACATTTCCTGTTTTGCAGAAGGAGTCACTCTTCCACCTTTAGATTCAAGCCCTCATATTCTCCCCTCCCTCCCCCCATGCTCCTCTGCACATATGATGCTGTCATTCTAGAGTTGTGCTGAACAATATGGTAGCCACTAGCCATATGTGGCCACTTACCACTTGAATTGTAGGTAGTTTGGACTAAGTACAAAATGAAAAGCAAAACTGAAGACCTTACTATTAATGAGAATAGAAAATATCTCACCAACACTTTTTTGTTGATTACATGTGGAATGACAATATTTTGAATATATTGAGTTAAATACAAAATATTGAAATTATTTTCCTCTATTTCGTTTTATCTTGTTTTAATGTGACTGCAACAAAATTTAAACTACATATATGGATTACTGTGTATATATATATATATTTTATTTTTTGTTTTTTTTTTGAGACAGAGTCTCACTATGTAGTTCTGGCTGGCCTCAAACTTGTGACGATCCTTTTGTCTCAGCCTCTGCAAGTAGTGGAATTATAGGCTACTTTATATTTTCAATGGCCAGCACTATTCTAGGTCATTCTTGTCTTCCTTCTCAGGAGTTCTTAAATCATTTCCATTCTAGTTTTACTATCGTGATCTAGCTCAAACTTCCTACAAGGCATCCTAGCATATTTCTGTGCCTGTAGATGACTCCCTATTTTCACCTCCCTCATCCATGCTGCATTCTGTCTCCAAACCCTTAATAGTACTGAAAGTTTCAAATTAAACCACTCCCCACTTTAGAATGAAGACCCAAAATGCTTCTCTCTGCTCATCAAAGTTGAAACTGCTACAGCTCTCAGCTCTGTGCTCCTCCGTGCATTACACATGATGCTTCAGGACAGCAAGAACATGTAAAACAAGATGAATGAAGCTGTACTGAGCTATAAGAATTTTACTTTTCCTGTGGTGTTGGGGGGGCATCACATAATATCCCTCATTGACTCTAACTTGATTAAGTCTGGCTCAGAGAAAGTTGTGCTTACCAAAAAAAAAAAAAAAAAAAAAAAAAAAAAAAAAAAAAAAAAAAAATATATATATATATATATATATATATATATATATATATATACACTAAACTAAGTACCTTATTCCATGAATCTTCAAAGCCACCAACCTGTTGATAAAGGCCAGTAACCCACAGAACAAAAAGGGTAAAAAGAACAGGCTCCTGAAGAAGGGCCTTCACTCCTCCTTTGAAAGGGCGAGAGTGATAACATTGTCTTAAAGATCAAAAAGCCGAAATTTTGTCCAGCAATGAGAATAGGTTTCTCTGAGAAGAGCAAGAAATCACCAGACTTTTCTGAAGCAACTGATTGAGAAAACTGGAAATAGAAGGCAGAGACAAACAGACATCAGCAAACTTATCAGCCAGTGTTTACTGAATGTCAGCTGATGGATGGAGCACACTCCAAAAGTTTTGTGCTTTCAAAGTAAAACCAAATAATGTTTTAATCTTAAATCTTCCCATGTAATCTCCTAGTTTGATATTCAATGCCAAACCCTACAATTATTTCCTCCAAAACAAACCCTACACACCAGCTCATAACCAGCGGAATCTTGATTTCTGCTCATTCGTGACCATTTGTAGTAGTGTCATGACTTTGCTCAGGCCGTCACCCTTGCATGCAGTGCCTTATAATTGTAGAACTGTAGAGCTGGAAGGGAAGTGGAAATTGTCACCCTGACTCTTTGTTTGATTAAACAGAGATCTGGAACTCATGAAGTGAATTTCTGATAGAGACCGGAACTCAGATCTGTTCCAGTCCAGTCCTGTGCTTTTGCCATCACATCATTCATTTTTCTTCTTATTTTCTGATTTTGCATAGTGAAATTCTATCTGTTCATAGATATCTAAGATAAATGGTACCAGATGTCCAACCAGCAGCAAATCATTGCTCAGGCTGTTTACTTTCCCACACTCCATCTGTAACCTGCTAGGTGTATACAATTCTTAGATCTCTTTGGGGTTTTTCACAGGTTGAAAATAATGAAGCCCTCTGAAACTACATACATCCAGTCAAATTCTTGCCACATAGCAAACATGTGTCATAGTACACGTCTATGCACATGTGTCAAATAAATTGTTGATCAAAAATACAGCAATTTGTAGTCTTTAGCATTAAATCTGTAAGAAAATGGATGCATAAAAACATTAAAAGGATTAGCCAACAGACAATACATTTTTATCTCTTTAAGAAAAAAGCTTCCATATATATTTCAAGGTCTATTATTGATTTTTTTTAAAAATTATCATATCTCCCCTCTTCATGTCTTTCCTTCACCAAGAAGAAAGGAGTTAGTTATTATAGCAGAGACCAAGCTGTTAGGAATTTAAAGATTAAGTTTGGAAATCCACATGTCTCTTTAACATATAAGGAGTGCCAGTTCAGCTGAGTGCCGAAAGACTTCCAGCCAGCTGAGTTAAACTGAAGAGTTGGTTAGTTTTTTTAGTGGGTGTTTAAATGTAAAATAATCCATCCTCCCAATTCTTCTGTTCTAGTGTGTTTATTAAGTAAATGTTTATTATACTAAAAGCCATTTCAAACTGGGGGGAGGGAAAAGCAGGAATTTCATGGCTTTCATATATGGGATTAATTTACAGAGCACAAAACCATCAATATATTTCTATTTTTAAATATGTTGTGTATGTAGGACTGAAAAAAGTTTAAAAACTAAAACTTAGTCTCAAATGAAAATTGCTCCTAAGAAAAATCCCTACACACAAAAAACAAACTTTCTTTCACAGAAGGCCTACTGGTAATTTTTAAAATGAAAAGGGTTGGGTAGCAAGAAATAAAAAGTAGTAACAAGTATTCGTCTTTTTGACATTAAGAGTCAAACCACGGATGTTTATTACAGACAATGTTTAGTGACCATGGGGATAAATAAATATTTAGGCACAAATTCGCTTCTATGCTATGCAACAAATACTAACTAAATATTTGTCATATATAACTCAGTGTGCTGGCTAGCAAATATAAAAGTAATTAAAGATCATTACAAGTATAAATTTAATGGATTATTAAATTACTGTACTCAACTAGAAGTTTCAGGAAGTATGGATACTATTCATAGATCAGTTGGTCTGATTATCAATCCCTCCCCAGTTATAGACTTTAACACTGATCCCTGAAAGGGATCTGAATTACCAGGCTAACTTTCTCTATTCATCATTTAGCTCATTTAATTAGTTTCCCAAGAGACTACGGTTTTCATTTGGCCTGAGTCCAAGGACTTTCTTAAAATCCCTCTTAAAGACATTTCAAGAAATGAAACTTTGGGAAGTTCTGGACCAAAAGTCCTCATTCTAAACATTTACACAGTTCAACACTATTTACTCATGTGCTATATTTTACTGAGTCTATGAAATTCTTTAAAATTATCTACACTGAAAAAGTGAGGGAGAACAGCTTACTACCTACAGGACAAATTCAAATATAAATATAATGTAAAGACATCTTGGGCAAAATCTTATCAAACTGTGAGCTTCTTCAAAAGTATTGCTAGTTGATAGTTGGAAAAACTTCTTTTACTTCCAACTAGGATGTATATTCCTTAAGAAGAAGTACTCTATTCTTGGTTTCTGTGAACATAACAAAGTGCCTGATACCTATTAAGCACTCAGTAATGTCCATTGATGAATGATGCGTGAATGACAGTGAAAAATGTGGCCTTACAGTATTTGGAACAATTTCACTTCTTAAATTTAAGTGAGCCAAAAAGGCAAACAAAGGCAGGGAATGACTCAGTAATGCAGAACCACCCAAGAAAGCAAGCAAGTGTTCCCCGTGCCTGAAGGGGTGAGCGCAACTTGAGAAAATGTTATGGCTTAGGAATTAAGTGTCTTTTAAAAGCCCATATGTTAGAGCTGTGGTATCATTGGGAAGTGGTGAAACTTTTAAGAGGTGAAACCCAGTTAGAGAAGTTAGGTCACTGAAAGTCTGCCTCTGAAGGGAACACTGGGACCTCGGACTCCTCCCTTCTCTCCATTTGGCTTCTTGGCTGCGATGAGGTAAACAGGCTGCCTTGGCTTCCCATTCCCACCATTACGTATTGTGCTACCCCAGGCTTAGAGTGATGGCTTAGTGACCATGAACTGAAGCCTCTGAAAGCATGGGCCAAAATAAGTCTTTTTATCTGACAAATTGATATTCTCAGATATTTTTGTGAAAGTGACAGAAACCTGGTGAACAGAATATCTGGAAGCGGATGGCTGCAGACTGACTCCAGGGCCGCTCCACTGGGCCTGCCAGTGATATCCTGTAGGACACACCATTTGTGGACGCTTCCAGAGATGCAGGCTGCATGGGAACTTTAGCACAAACGCTGTAGCCAATAACCTGACACCCTGAAAATCTGTCCAGTGTTCAGAACAGAGCTATCCAGTTCCAAAGAGTCAACAGGATTTATTGCCAAAGATTCCTCTGCAGAAGTTAGAGGACATATCATTCTCATGTTTTGCCTTCCTTGGTGAGAGATTTAAATAAACACATAGCTTCATTCCCAAGCTCACTAGCTGGGGATTCTTTGAAACTTCAGTTGCACATCACTCAGAGCAATGTGACCTCCAGGAAAACTCAGGCTTGGAACTCTTCGAGGAGGGTAATCATAAAATGAATGTTTTCTCTATTTAAAACTGATTTAAAACTAAAAATAACTGTGAAGGGCCTCTACTTATCTTAGAGGGGTGACATGGGCTGGCAAGGAACAGGCTTACATTGCTAGAGAACATCCACAGTACATCCTGCAGGGCTTTAGCACTGAATATGTTACTCAGGAACTACGAAGTAGCGTTTGTCACCAGTGTAATGTATCTTATTTTATCAATAAAATGCATGATTAATTTAATTTTTTAGAAACACAAACAGAAATTGATTATTTTCAAATACTCATGGTTTGGCATTTACTATTTTTCACTTAAGAGATCACTGATTTGTATGTGGAACAGTCTCATTTATTAATTTCATTTTGTGGGAAACATGAGGAATTTAATTGACTTTACCAAGGTCATCAGCAAAGCAGTGATGAGAAACCTGAGAGTGAATCCTTTCTGTTTCCAAGTATTTTGAAAGTTGGCTCATGTAAAAAAAAAAAAGCATGATGAAAGAGTACTTCTGGGACTGGAAAAGAGATACCTTGTCTCTCAGTGCCTAGAGGTCTGTGCTAGTTCCAAAGATAAAGCTTTCATTTTAGGCCCAGAGCTCACAGTAATCTTCAGTTTAACTGGGTATTTTCCTTATTGCATTGTGAACTTGGAAAAATAAATTAAATAACCACAGAAAACAAAGTTTTATAAAATTTGTCCTTATATGTCTAACTTTTAATGGCAATGTTTTATGACTTTGGCAGATATTTAAATAACTTAGTATTTCAGTGAGGTCTGTGTGTAAAAGCTATCTCTTGTACTGTAACATTTATGGAGCCAGTATTTGTTGAAAGCTTGTTAGCCAGGTAATTGTTAATCTCATCTTCCCATTTAATTCTTGTAAAAAAATTCCTGGGGAGATGCTATTCGTATCATCCTCACTTTATTGACAAGGAAATGAAGATCTAAAATACTAATTTTCCCAAGGTTATAGGAATAGTAAAGTTTGGAGGATAAGTATAAACAGGCTGAATAGTTATAAAAACCAAAACTGTATTAAATAAATCTCACAGCCTTGTCAAGGGCTACTCTTTAGCCTATCACATTTCCTTTTCAGGGTAGTTTCTTTTTTTTTTTTTTTTTTTTTTTTTTTTCCTGTACTGGGAACCGAACTCATGACCTTCTGCTTGCCAGGCAGGCGCTTTTGCCACTGAGCTAAATCCCCGGCCCTTTCAGAGTAGTTTCTTAAAAACAGCAAAATTAGCAACAGTGAAAACTGCAGGAGAATATTAATTCCATTTAGTATTCATAGAAAATCTTACTTTTATTTCTGGAGTTTTTCTTAATTTCTATAATTTTTCTCTATTGGTTTGAGTCTTGGTGCCATTGTATAGATAAGAAACATTTGTAGCAAATTGAATTCAAATTCTCACTTTGCCTTACCTGGGCCATGTGACCTAGGGCACGTTATCTAATTTCTTCAAACCTGTTTCACATCGGCATTTAATAAATAATCCCCAAATTTCTAGCTATAAATATTTTGCTAGGAAGCAAGAAGAGAATTAGTCCAAACTTTTTTCCATTTGCAAATGAGGAAAGTGAGGGCCAGTGAAATAACTTTACCTAAAAAGGCTTCCCAGATATCTCTGTGTAGAACTAGAAAGCAGATCCATTTGCCAGATTATCAAGTGTGTGCTCTGTCACTATCCTGGGCTATCTCAGGCTGATGAATATACGACTGATAATCTCTGTTGTCAGAGGTTTTCCCCAGGCAGACACAGAATGATTGCTTCCATCTACAGTGTAACCAGAATTGCAGTGTGGGGCAGAGAGTCGGTTTTGAGACCTTGGTAGGGAGAGTCCCTTCTGGTCATGTGTGTCATTCCCACTTGCCAATTTGAGTCCATGACATTTTAGTTGAGATTTGGAAGCTACACAAATATCATTTTGCTGGTTTCCTTGTCTTTTGATGCTTTGTTGCATGGGTTTGCATTATAGGTGTCTCCATGGAACAGCTCCATGGAGTTTCCCATGGGGTGTACTTACTGACAACTACTGCTGCCAGCTGACTCTTTAAATGCATCCAGATCTCTGCAGCAAGGCCCAGAGTCTTTCTGTGGCTCTGATATTTTCAAAATGTAATCATTAATGTGAATAAACATACAGTTGTCTTGCTCAGCCAATTTAGAGAAAACACAGATGGAATACTATGAACATGATAATGGGGAATCAAGTTATAAAGAGTCTAGAATAATGAAGCAAGTGGAATATAATGAAATTTAAAAGGGAGATTTTAAGTTCTTAGACTTGGATGTATAAAAAAAAAACCTACAAGAATGGGATGGGAATGTTCGACATAATACTGGCATGAGTAAACTCCTACTCTTACCATAGATTAAGATCCTTAAAAGCTTAAGGGCTGAGTGATCTTTCATGTTAGTCAACAGCAATGGGACTGCCAAAAATATATCATTTCATCCTGTGTAGCCTTACAACATGTGGATTTCAATTTTTTTTTTCTCTTTTTGAGACAGGGTCTCGTTATGCAGTTCAGGCTGGCTTTCAGCTCATTTTGTAGCCCAGGCTGGTCTCAAACTCAAAATGATCCTCCTGTCTCAGCCTCCTGAGTGCCGGGATTATAGGCGTGTGCCACCATGCCCAGCTACAACGTGGGTTTCAGAACAAATGAAGTAACAATTTGATTCCATTCATTTTAGTCAGACTTCAGGTGAACTTTTTATTTTCCTTTCTAGGTACCAAAGTCATAGCTAAACTGATAAATATACAGAATTTTTGATAAGAGCAAGAGATGACTTGAAACATACAGCAAACAGTATGAAGGATGATTGAAGGAACTAGAGTTTATTCAAGACAGATATGATAATCACCAAGAATTGCAAGCTAATAAATCAGTCTGCCACAGTTTCAAGGATATTGGCATAGACACAAGACTCCTGGGTCAGAGACATTGGATAGTTTATTACTCACAGTGATACAGTACTCACAGTATCAGTATTTTCTTATGCCACTTCCTTAAGCCCTAGTTCCCATTGAGCAGCTCAAGGAGGGCCAGGTAAAGCTTTCACACATAGTGGATTGATTTATAGGGGAGAGATCTTGAGGTTAGGAAACTTCGGTCTTTTATAATGGGCTGCAGGTCAACTGGCCTAACCATCTTCCAGAAAGAAGTGAGATACTATCGCTAAATCTTTTCAAAAAGGGCAAACTAGCATTAGAGTCTTTGCTGGAGACATGAAGAAACAGGAGAGGCTCCTAAGAACTGGCTTTCGACAATGACTACAAGTTGAGAGTTGTCATAATAAAGAGTACTAGAAATCTCTTGCTCCTAAATGATAAATCAGGACAAATTGGTGAAAACTGTGGAAAGAAAAATTTCTGACAGATAAAGACATTTATAAAAAACAAAGCAAGTATAAAGTGGGATGGACACCCGAACAAGTTAGACATGTACAGGAAGAAACTGGACGGCCATTTTTGGTTGACCATCAAGGAAAATATTCATATACCAAGAAGTACTGAGTTTAATGGTAGTTAAGCCTCTTCTTGAGCTCTGATTATCAGAGAACAGAGGAGAGAAAGAACAAAAAGAAAGTAGTTTTCCATTTATACATGCAACATATGTTCCGGGATATGCCATTAGATACCTAAAACCTCAGATAATACTAAACCTTATATATCCTATGGTTTTTCCTGTACGTACATATCTGCGGTAAGGTTTAATTATAACACACGTACAGTAAGAGATTGCAAACAGTAATTCATAATGAAACAAAATGATTATGACTATACACTGCAAGGAAAGTTATGTGAATATGGTCCCTGTTTCTGGAATTTTCTATTTCATATTCTTATACTATGATGGATTGTGGGTAACAGACTGCAGAAAAGGAAGCCACAGCTAAGGAGGGAGCCCTGCAACAAAGAAAAAAGTCAGGATGGAAATGGATTGAATGCACTTGCAAACCACAGGGGCTTCCTTGTACTGTGTGTCTTCCTCAGCTCTGTGTCCTAAGAGGAGTTAGGCATCTCCGCCAAGTCACAGAGAGGGCGGTATGGTCGTGGCTATGATCTCCCTTGTTAGCCCTCTTTGGTAAAGAAAAACGGCTTCTTCTTTGGAAACGAAGAAACTTGAAACTTTACCCCAGACTGATTGTCCTTATTTTGAGAAACAGAAGCTTTGCTAAAGAATCCTCTACCATCTAACTGCAAATACTCCAATTTCCCAGACACTTCAACTGAAGCTTCAGAATATTCTAAAAGAGAATATATCACCTATGTATTTTTTTTTTTTAGAAATAATACACATTTTACTCCCTGACACACCCTACAACCAAAAGATACTATTTGAGATTATTTTACCTCTCATGTCAATTAGCAGGTAGATATAGTTTCATCCATAGATTTATTAACTTACCAGTTTGAATTCATGTACTCATCACCTGGGTAAGATGATACAACTCTACAACCACTGGTTGGCAAATGACTGCGATCTTACAGTACGACCAATTTCTCTGTTTCTTTATGTGTAAAGTGAGTCAGTTGACATAGATGACAGCAGTGTTTCTTTCCAGCGTTTCAACCTCTAAAGAACCCATGAAAAAATGTTTTCCTAGAAGCTACTATAAGCCTGGTGCTCTAGGGCTGGATAATTCAGAGCTTGGAAGAGAATTATGGTAGACATCTCTTTTGAAAGATGTTTTAAAGGAGACCCTCTTACTCTAAAACAAAGTGTAGAAATATCAATCAGAATATTTGGAAAGGGATCTAAGAAGTTCTTGTAGACAAAACATGAGAAGTCATTTGTAACCAAAAATAGGATGAAAGTTCTACTCTGTAATAAATTCAGCAGAGCATGAAAGAAAAAAAGAAAGAAAGAAAGAATGAAAGAAAGAAAGAAAAAAAGAAAGAAAGGAGCAAGCCTGGGAAGGGACCAGATTGGCCAAAGTGTTGAACCTGAGCTCATCAGACAGCAAGCTACAGCATGGGGGGCTCTCAGCTGCAGAGTACACATCTGATTGGAAACAGTTCATTTCTACTTTTCAGAAAGAGGTGGTGCAAACAAAGCTGAAAGAAGTCATTTTTTTCTATCTCCAAACAAGCAAAAAATCTCTTCTGGCATGGACCAGTTTGATCCTGGATTGCGTGCATTTGGATAATGATTTGGGCACTTATTTTTGAAGATCATGACTCTACTTTGCAACTTTGTGATTAATCAATAAATGACTTGGAAGACTCATCTCACAAACTTTAGATCTTATTCAGTGCTTATAGTCTTAGAATATTTACTAAAAGTAATTGCATTTCAAAGTATTTTACATGCAATTTTAAAAATTTTTATCTTAAAAGTAGATTTTTCAATGATTTATATAGTAGATAAGTGAATGTTTTCATTACAACAATTTTTTTGAGACAGAGTCTCTGTGTAGTTCAAGCTGGCCTTGAAGTCACGGCTATCCTCCTGCCTCAGCCTCCTGAGTGCTGGGACTACTGGTGTGTGTGGACAACTAGTAGTCCTGGCCTCATTACACCAATTTTACCAATACACTTACAATATTAATTCACAGGCTAAGTTCTACACTCTGCAGTGAAGTCAATAAGAAAGAAATAAAATACATATTTTTTCTGAATATATAAACATCTGTGCTAACTTCTGCCTCCTAAAACTGCTATTCATTTTGCCTCATCCTTAACCCTTTAAAATAGCGAAAGAGTTCTCTCTTGCAATGTTTATTAAGCTAACAGCAGGAATCAAGTTAACCTCCTTCATACCCAAGTTAAATCTACTTAATTCATGTTAAGGTATTTTTAGAGGTCTCTTCAAGGAAGAGATGTTGATCATGAACTTAGGGTCTCTTGGAAGGCATAAAAATGGGGTGAATCGGAGTTCAGAGTGCAAATGAGGCTGCCTCATTTTTTTGGGTCAAAAGTTAGATCAATTCTAACTTTCCCATTCTGACCATGGGAAAGTTTCTTTCTTCTTCATACTGAGATGCCACTATCCAAGGTAAAGGCCAGACGCACTTGCTATAAATATCTTGTGAGATAGGCAAAATGCTGCACTGTAACTCCTGCAGCCAGAAAGTGAGGAAAGAGAAGGCTCATGTGATCGTTTGAGAATATGCGTTCACCCCGAGGAACGGAGACTAATTATAACCGAGAGTTAGCATTTCTCAAGGGGAGGATCAATTTACTCTGAATAGCCCAGAGCTTTTTATCACTTGTTATGGTTCTTTTGCTCTGGACAACGAGGGGGAGGAGGGAGACCCAGGAAGGGGAGGCTTTAAAGGGAGCAGTAATCTGAGAAGAAAAAGCAAAAATAGAGTGGGCAACAAAGGGGAGAAGGAAAGAAGAGCAGGCTCTGGGAGGCCCTGAAGTCCTTAGTGATGATGCCTGGGTTTAAATGCCTTGGAGAGAGCGGGCGCTATTTCTGTCTGTTCCTATTACAGAAATGGAACTAGAGTTGCCCCCAAGAAATGGCAGAAGCTGGAACAGTCACACCGCTCTTCACACCATTTTCCATGCCATGGACCCACAGTGTCTCTCACCCGTGATTTTTGTTTGGCACCAGCCCCACTCTTGGCTTTCCCACTGGAGCACCAGCCAGTTTGCCAACTATCTGTCCACAATGGCTTCTCTGCTAGCGCAGAGCCCTCCACACACACCTCCTTTTTCTTGCCTACGGATTTCCCTTTTCCCTGCTTCTGCACCTACTTAAAACACCACCATCCTCTTCAGTAAAGATCATTTATTTCGTAGTAATAACTTACCTTGCATAAAGCTTTACAGCAAACATGTAGACCTGCAGTATCACACCTGAGCCATTGCCTCCTGGACACTTCCTTCACCACTGTGGCCTAAACCCACCACTCCTTGTGTATGATGATCTAGGGTGTTGCCTCACGTACTCCACTCTAAGGACTCACCCCCTAGGGACAGAGGCTGTGATAATATCCATTTTCAATAAACTCCCAGGAGAAACTGAGGAGTTAGGGTGACCTAATGTGATGGAATCGTGACTATTTCTTCTTGTATCTTTCCATATTGCTTCATACATTCTTCCCATGATTGTGTACAACTGTTATAACTAAACCTAGTACATACGAGATAGGAGGTAGGACATGACAAAGCTGGCTGGGGAAGTAACTGAGACCGATTAATTACACAGGACCCGTATGTAGAACTTCTCGCAGGCTCCATGAGATACGGATGACATAAAAGAGATGGGAGGCCACAGAGAACCCGCTGCCACAGCCCTTCAGGGTAGTCACTCTGTGACTTCTAGACGAGGGTGTACTTTTACTCTCGTTCTTTTTCCCTTTTCCTCTTTTGTTGGGCCCAACTTCACTCTGCAGAGCCAGTTTTTTCCCTCACCCTCTCACTCCTCGCTTTTCAAATAAACTTGTGGCACCATTTTCGGTTTGTCTTCTCCAATGTTTTGTTCAAGGCAAGAAGGACCTGGAGTACATTTAATTAGCAAGCCGTTTCTAAAGGAACCACCTGGTAACACATACATAAAGCTCCCCTGGTGATTCTGATGGCGTGGAGCCAAGGAATCCTTATCAGAATCATAATCCATGCCTTCTTTCATTTCTTACTTCTCCAACAAGGTAAAACTCAACAGCAAGAACTAGCTTATTCTCTCTCTCTGTTTAGGGCTCAAAGTAAAGTCTTTATCAGCTTGTGAGTAGGGCTGAATAGACTCTCAAGAAAGTAGGGCAAGAGTGTAATGACACATAAATTACATTTGCAGTACTGGGGACTGCACCCAGGGAATATTGCACTATACCCCTATTCTTTATATTTTTAAATTGCACCCAGTCTAACCTCAAACTGGTGACCCTCCACTTATCCTCCTGAGCAGCAGAAGGAGTCCAAACTCTCATACACTGAGTGACAGTAATGTAAAAACAGTTTCATAGTTCTTCAGAACATTAAACATAGAGTTACCATATGATCCAGAAAATCCACTTCTAGTGGATTCCAGGAGAACAGAAAACACATGTCATACAGAAGACTTACATGCAAATGCTCTCAGCAGCATTAGTCATAGTAGCCAGTAGGGAACCATGATAACAGTGGATAAACAAACTGCGGGATATTTAAACAACAGGATATCATTTAGCTGTGCAAAGTAATGAATATCATGTCACAACGTGGATGAACCTTGAAAATGTGCTGAATGAAAGAAGTCAGACACTAAAGTCATACGCTACATGATTCCATTTATACGAGCGTCCAGAACTGGCAAGTCCATGGAGACAGGAAGTGGCTCACCAGGGGTAACGAGGGGCATGGGGGCAACTTTCTATGAGAATAGTGTCCTGCAATATGACATTGATGGCTATAGAAATTGGTGAATATCCTAAAAATTATTCAGTTGCACCCTTTTAAAGGTTAAACTTTATGATATGCAAAGTATATTTTAGTAAAACTTTTATTAAGAAAACAAACAAGGAGGAATATGGCGGAGAGGAAATCTAAGCAACTGGGCCCCCAAAAAGTGTAAAAAGAAAAAAGTTTTACTGAAGGCTGGCTTTTGGAGCATAGCTAGACTTTTAAAGCCTTTTTTAAAAAGTAAAAAATGATAATTAACTGGGGAGCAAACTGGAAGATTATAAATACTGATAAAGGAATTTGGCTCAGATGCCGACTTTTCCTTCTGATAAAAACGAGCATGAGGTGTTCATACCTTCCTTACCGATGCACTTTGTCCTTAGAATAGGTTTTACTATGTTCAGGACAATGTGTGGGAGCCCTCTGTGAAATGGGAGAAGGATGAATTAGGTGACCTTTCGTGCTCCTTGCTTTTTTCCCCTCTCTTGGAAAAATGTTAAGCCTCAGCATTCAACATGACGCATCACTCCCAGCATGTTAGTCTTGGTGAAATGAGAAGAGACATTGCTGATTCTTGAGAAGTTTTATTTGGTGACTGTAGGCATCATAAGTGCACATTCCTGTTACAACTGTGAACGTCTTCTCCAAATGGTTGGCTTTTTACTTAAAAAGAAAAGAACTTAAAGCTGTACTTGTAAACTATGTTAATTATTAATGTAAGGAAATTCAAGTTCCATGTAGCTACCTCTACATATGTTATTACTGTGAACACAGAGAATACACTAGGCCTGGTAAGCAGTTTTGAAAAGCTCTGCAGCCTTCTAATTCAGTTTTGTTTGAAAACTAATACGATATTATTCTCACTCATATTTACCAAGGACAGAACCATCTGTGTTAAGCCTCCCGTTGCTTCCCCGGGCTCCCTGTTTTAGGAGAAAGTAAGTCCATTTCGAGTCCTCCCAGACAGTCTTCCTTACTATGCTCGGGACCCTGACGCCTCTGAAATAAAGCAAACAGAGGCATGATGGGAGCAAGGCAGGCTCTTGGTCTTGTCACCAGATTCAGAACAGATCTTTTCTAGCCTTTAATTCTCTGGTCAGGCCAGATAATGCTTGGTTCCATAGCTAAGTCTATGGTCAGCACTGATCCTCTCTATTTCAGTCACACGCTCCACAGTATTCATTCATTGACTAAACACAGACATTTAAACCTTCCTATTTTTAGGGTTAGTAATATAAACTTTCATTTCCAGTGTTCTCAAATAAAACATCTTTAATTCAGCTCTGTGTTTGTGGAATAACAGCTGTGATCCTAAGACGAGATATTGTTACAATTTGATTTGTTGAGAATATTACCTAAAGGGAATCCTTGCCCGGGCATGAACCTCTTCCTCTCCTCAGGAAGAGGGCCCCCATGTCCCACTAAGCAAGGGCATGGTCAAACTGGCCTTTCTCCAGGCCTTCTAACCCATCAGCCCAGGTCGAGGTCGGCATGCTCCGATAGGGGTCCAGAAGAATCCGGAAGCACCTGACAATGAGGATGCCCAAGAAAATAAACAACAAAACCACAAAAACGAACGTTGTTTTCTGCTCCAGAGACATGCTAGAATCCGATGACATGTTCCCAAGGGGCACGAGGGGCGAAGGGATGGGTTGTCCTCCATCCATCGTCCAGGGATGGCAGAGCACAGAACATCCAGGTTCCCTTTGCTTCCATCATCAGTCTGGTGAGATCATGGTGACTGCACGCTGGAGAGCTGGTTATCTGGAAGGAGAAGGAAAGGGAAGCAGAGGGAATAACTATCACATAGGAATTTATTTTCCAGATTGATAGTCATGTTTTTCCAACAAGAGAAATCTATAAACAGGCTTTTGCTTTCATCAGAAATGTTTTATGTTGTATAATAATGAGGAAGAACATTTCATTCTTCTGTGAAATAACTAAACTATGAATGGCCACCAGAGCCAGGAGGGATGGACAGAGAATGTAAGTATAAGACAGAAGATAAGAAATGGGAAGGTAATGTTGGCCTTAGGGTGTGCTATCAACTTGACTTCCAGGATCAACCTTTCTATCTGTTCTAGCTTCTCTGTTATATTACTCTCACTTCCTTCTCATAGTGCTACCACTGACTGAGCACCAGCTGTGTGCCGGGACAGTGGCTACTCTTGGCATGTGTTAGCCAATCTGCTAGAAGCTCTACAGAAGCACAGACTTATGTAGCCCTAGTGCAAGGAAAATCAGCCCAGAAAAGGTGCTCAGTATGCATACTGACTCAGGGGGCTTCAGGTTGTAAGCTGGAGCCCCTGGCCTCCATTTCATTGCTAAATGAGGTTGGGACCTTGAAGAGATCGCTTAGTTGTAAAAAATCATCAAAAATGTCTGCACTATCTCATGGTGCAAGGGTAATGAGAAATGTCTGTCAAAACCCTTTGAAAGGTATACAAAGAAGAAGAGAAAAAAGGACAACAAAGCCTTGCTTCACTGAAGACCTGACTAAAATAGCTATAATGCTTCTACTTTTTTTCTATTGCCTGAGCCAAGGGAGAATGAGATATCTCAGACTCTCAAATCATCAAGTTACTGCTGCATTTTCTTTCTTCTTCAAAAACAAAGACCAAGTTCAATACATGACCCATAGCAGCACCTAGAGAACTGAGCTAAGGAAAAGGAATTGACTGCATGTTTTTAAAGGGACAATTTTCTTAACAGTGGCTTCCTACTACTTAAGATCATTTGGTAGAGAGGATGAAAAGAAAAAGACAACTTACCACTGGTAGAAAAATTGAGGGATTTGAATATTACTACTTGTTTCAAAGACAAAAGGATATACAAAGATCATTAAAAGCTTTAGGTACTGAATTAAGTAAACTTACATCAGAGTTGGTAAGGAAAGGTGTACATATCAGATATTACCTTACAGAAAGTTATCATGAATTTGTAAGGAAAATTACGTAACAGTAGTTACTTATACAAATTACTGTGGAGCCAAGAAACTATGCTCAACGAAAGTAAGCAGCCAAGTGTAACCTAAAGTATCAACACAGTACTTCAGTTAACTTAATGGTTGTGGTTATTCAGTTAATGGTTATGGTTCTTCAGTTAACTTAACGGTAATGGTTATTACCTTCAGCACAGCATTAATAATCACAACAGTGTGTGAGTTGACATTTCTTTTTTTAAATTTTATTTTAAAGAGAGTAGTAAATGAGAAAGAAACAACCAAAGCACAATAGCAGAATACCAGTATCACGAACACAAACAAACCAAAGCAAGAATATTTAAAGTGATGCAGGATTTCAAGACAAAATAACACAAATTAACAGTGGTTGTTACATTACATATTGCTATCCTCAACTACATTGCTCAGATTACCAGGTGTAAGAATGGAATATTGTTCAAACTATTAAAGAGAATAAGAAAATAAGTATTAGATAAAACATTAGAGGTAATACAGAGTTTCACTAGATGAGATGGTAGGAATTCACCATGGTAATTCCATTGCATATTGTTGCCTTCAAATCATTTGCTCAGATTACCAGATATAAACATGCAAAATTGATCAGAACATAAAAAATTTTAAGCATTAACTGTTCCTTTCTATATACCATCAGACATCCACAGTACAGTTATTGTAGCTACTCATATATACATTTCAAAGTTTGCAAAACTCACAGCTTAAAGCGAAATTTATAAGGTGATCACAACTAGTATTTGGAAGGACGGTGTTACCAGTTTGAGGGTAATAGGTGCTTTTGCAGTCCCATCACTTTGACTTTTTTCAGTACCAGGAATTAAATTCAGGGCCTTCACACTAAGTTACATATATCCCCCAGCCCTTTTATTTTTATTTTGAAACAAGCTCTCACTAAGTTGCTAAGTTAGTGAGATGGGCTCAAATCTGCTGTTTTCTTGCCTCAGCTTCCTGAAGTGTTGGGATTATAGGCATGAGCTACCATAGTCAGCTTGAACTTTTTGAAGGACTAGAATAGTTGCAAGATGCATTTATGATTCATACTTGTTTCAAAGCAAGACTGAGATTCAATTTAACTGTGTTTTTTTTTAAAAATAAATAAGCATTTTAGGAATACAGTCCTGGTGAGTTGGGTTTGGCTTGGATTTGCTTCTTTTTAAGCACTCTCTCAGCTTTGGGTATTGATTCCCATTGGGGCTGAAGAGAAAGGGGCAGAGAGGATAGCCACTGCCTCTAAGGGAGCTTCCTTGGCACATCAGACTAGGGCGATCTGTAGCCAACAAAAGTACTCATGCTGGTCTTAATCATTCCAGTTATAAATTTCCTAAACCCGGCACAAAAGAGAGTCATCTGACAATAGAGGAGACAAACCTTGACTATCCCTGACATGTCCCTCTTGCCTGTTTATGTCCACAGGAGCATCCCCACTTTGACCATTGTTTTCCTGGCTAGTTTACTGGAAGCCCTTCCTGTGTGTATCTTTCCTCCAGCCAAATAAAGACAGAAGTCCCCCACCTACCCCACCCTTTTTGGTCTATCCTCAACAGTGCTGAACAAGTATGCATTTCCAGAAAGTTCTTTCTGGAAACAATACATAACCCAACAAAGAACGTAGGAAAATCAAAGGCCACTAACCATAAATGTACAACATAAAGATTTCTGGATCTGTGAACTGCAATGAAGAGGGAAGAACTGGATAAAGATACTACACTTGACCTTATCCAAAAGGCCGAGAAGCCATAAGAACTGGATAAAGAACCCCTAGGGCCTGTGAGAACTAGCCTCTGGCCACTGCTGGCTGATTAGCATAACATTTCCTTGTCCAGCACCTCCCTGGATGAGCACCAGCTTGACAGACAGAAGCTGTCTTCCTCTGCCTTCTCCTCCATACAAAGCAAAAGGCCAAATCCACTTCTCCTAGATCAGCACCTCACACTTTCCAGGCTTTGCCCATCACTCAGCACCAAGAACTCATATACTGTTCATTTAGGGGCTGCAGCAGCGGACAGCCGCCCCAGAAGCCCCAGCCAACAGACTGATTGTTCTGATTCACTCTATCGGCACATCTTCCTTTGCAAGCTTCCCATACAAGATGGGGGCTCAGCTTCTCTTCAGGAATTAAAGCTATTAGGACGATTTTGGATGAATTTTCATTTTACCACTCTTTTCTGCTTAGAAGGCAAGAAGTGGTGGGGTGCAGCTCAGTGGTACAGAAAGTACACAGCATGTGCAATGCCCTGGGATGGATTCCTACCACCACGTGTACACACACAAAGTCAAGAGACTGCCTTTCCAGCCTGACCACACATTTTGAGAGGTCTGTTTAAAATATATGTATATATATATATCTTTTATAACCCCTTCATCACCAAACACTTTTAGAAATAACAAATTGACAAGCAGAGATTATTTGTAAACCTTCCTTTCCAGGCATATCATGGTGCCCATGTTCTTACTAAGATAACTTCTTTGGATCCAATAATCAAAGTTCTCTATTAAATCTCAGCATTTTACAAAGGAAAGGGACAAACTAGCATCATAGGAGAAATTTATCAGTGAGGACTGTCCCCACTTGAAAGATAGAAAATTTGGGAAATGTAGTTGGAGAAAAGGAAGATCTTTCTGGGAGTTGGGGAACTGCTACGAAGGATGAGGGAGCAGATATGGGTGAGGGGGGGAAAGAAAGCTGGTGAGTAAAAATGAGAGGATCAGGAGATGATTACAAAGGGATATGGGGATAAAGAGATCTAGAAACAAATGCCGACTATTACACAATTTTGCTTAGGACTGATTGAAGTCCCTGGAAGCTCCTGCTTGATTTTAAACCTCTAATCAGCTCATAAATAATTTACAAATTTAGAAAGCTCAGCTGCATGTTTAAGTTGAAAGAAGCATCAGATACAAAATGAAGAAAAAGAAAAAAAAATTATCTCTTCACGATCACAATGTAGAAATAGTCAGACGCTAAAATTTTTTAAATGTTTGTCTTAAAGTACAATGTCCTTTTTTGGTAAAAACGATTCTTGGAAGATGTTCATGATTACTTTTAACTGAATAATGAAATCTTTTGACAAACAGTTAAATCTGGGATAGCAAATTATTTCAAATGTTTTTAACATGGGTATCACGCGGCTTACTAATAACAAATGGCAGTTATTTTAAGCATGAAGAAGAACCACAGTTACTCACGGCAGTATTTTAGTCCTGACTGGATTTTCCTATATCACGCAGTGCATCTGTGTCTTCCCTTTGCCAGGTCCATTTGCTCAGGAAATAACATCTAATTTTAATACTGAACCAAGAAAATCTTAATTAGAAGATGCTATTAAAAATAATATAATACATCTGTTTTCTCAAGACAAGCTCCTGGAACGCCTCAGAATTGACAGTGGGAAATTCCCAGTGAGCAAAGCATCTTTAGCATGGCCAGTCACACCCTGAGCCACTCACCTGAGTGAGTTTCAAAGTGCTCTTTTCCTCCACCCTCTGTTCTGGTCATCTTTCTAGTCCTGCTTTTGCCACTCCTTCTCTGGAAGGTCTGTCTATCCCAGTGGCCACAGCCTACTCAGCCCCTGATGCTCTGATGCATTTTGGACCACGAAGTGGAACATACTTCAGTGGGATTTTCTAAAATATTAATTTGTCCTCATAAGTTTATAAAGGAACTAGCATAAAATCACATCCAATTTCCACTAAAATGCCCAATGTATTGGTAAGAATAAACACACATGTGATTGAGTCCTGAGACAACTGCAGATGTGTTCATTGTGTCCGTTCCTCACTCCACCTAACACCCACTGTTGTCTGAACGTCTCCACATTCCCACTCAGAGTGCTCTCGTGCTCCCTCTTGCTGTCTGCTCCCCCTCCTTCAGGTCAACACCTGTGCTCCTCCTCGGAGGGGTCTGACATTTCTCCTTCTGAGGGGTGAGGACCTTCCTACTGTGTCTCCACACTGCACCTATACTTGGGCACCAGTCATGACAGGACCAGTGTCCACAGTATTGTCACCTTCTCCTTATTAAGCAAGCTCCTTCAGAAGTCCCTTGCTCTTCTGAGATCACTGCCTCTCTGAGTAGACTTTCAGCCAAATCTCTGGCCCCTTACAGACCAAGAAACTGAATTCAAAAATTAAGGTTCCATCTAACTTACATATGTGGAAAAAAGATGTCATTAGCCCAACTGGGATGTCAGATCATTATGTTCGATCATGTTTCAAAGAATCACAGCTAATCCAAGCTACAATGACATTTAATAGTCACAGAGCTCATGAATTGAAAAGCAATGAATTATTTGGTTCTTTAAATTTTCCTTGGCCTCAGTGCTAATGGGTGGGGTCCAAAATATGAAAATCAGTCAGAGGAGAACAGTCACCCTTCTGTGGAAGAGGTCCATCTCTGCTTACTTAACCTGTCTTTTTGGTGAGGAAAGGCAGCTCTTCAAACGATACCAATCCTAATGTCTGACACACAAACTATGGTATCAATATGTGTGACTCTCGGGTCATTTTATTTTATTTGCACCTCATTACACAATTTCACAGAAAGGGGAAACACTTTTTGTGAAGAAAGTATATCTTAACAAAGCGGCATAATTTCTTTTCTCCTTTTTAAAGTGACCACAACACAATCGATCATGTGCACTTGGTGCATTGCTCTCAGAAACACACACAGACACTTGATCCTGCCACCTTCCCTTCCTGGTCGCTGACCCGGTGCCCACCCTCCCGGGATGTTTGCAATGATCACAGCGGCGTGGTCACAGGGTGTGCGCCGCCCGTGAGGCACACAGTGCAGTTTCAGTAAAGAAGTGGTGAGGAAGGAGTGTTTTCTCTTTCTTCATTTTTGGGCAAAGTGAGGATTATTCCCAATTTCTTTATGCAATTAAGGATACAGAGAAATGAAAAGTTATAAATAAATTGCCCAGAATCATAAAAATATCATCAAAAGTATAGCATTTATCTTTAGCCCTTAGGAATACTGGGTCCCAAGCTTTTCTCTGGCATGCTGTAATGACTTGCAAGTCCTCACGCCTCTGGGTTAGTGGCATGTAGGGTGCAGTTAAGCAATGTTGTCTGTATTTTAAGTACTCCTAAACCACATAATCACCATACCTAATTTTTAAACCTCCTAGGCCAGAAACCTAAATACGTGACTCGACGGGTTATGAAAAGTGGGTGTAAAAACAGCCTGTCCGTTGAGAAAGAACACTCATGGGCTTGTCCAGTGTACACTGACAGGACACTTTGCCCTACAAAGAAGTCTTGTGCACTTTTTTTATGCTTACCTGGCAGACTGGTGAGAATAGTCTCTGCACTAACAGGAAGGGAGCTGGCGAGCTCGGCAGGACTGAGTTTGTGGGACCCTGAAAAGACAAACTTCCCCCAAGTGCTGCATTGTTCTGCAACAGCTCCAAAGCCGGCTGCCGAGAGAGTAACTCGGCTCACCATGAGCACAGTAATGCACAGCCTGAGACTGGGGCTGAATGGAATCACTCTCTATTTTTTGAGGTAGAAGCTTGAACTGCCCTCCTGTTTGTAGAACTGGAGCCTCTGCAGGTATAGCTCGCCCTTCTAGATGTGCAAAGCGCCCGAGTGGCCCTATGCACATCTCCCCCAGCAATGGTGAGCCTGTTTCATAAGCTACCTCATTAGCCAAATGATCAAATACCTGTATGAGCAAAAGTTACTCCCTTACAAATCCTTTGGAAATTCTACATATTAGTCTGGTGAACAATAACTTGCCTTCCAGAATGTACATACAAAGATACAAAACGTTTCCTATAAATTTAAAGAATTCGTGACCAGCCAAGAACTTCAGGTAAAGATTTCCTGCCTCTTTCTAGGTGCTTCATGTATTTGAAATCCTCCTACCCACTCCCTTTATTTTTGGCTCACTTAAATACATGGCAACATCTATATATTTTTTTCCAAATAAAGTCCTGCTGCTCCAATATAATAGCTTTGATGCTTCCAAATTCACAGAATGTCTAAGGGTCGATATTATTGTTTACTCTCAAAAAATAGACCGAGGTTACTAGAAAGCTCACAAAAAATAATTTTTAAAACATGCGCATGTGGCCAGCTATGAATGTCAACAGGCAGTTTTGTGGAACAGGGCCAGCCTCCGCTGCTGCACCAGGAAGTCTGCTCTCTGCTCATCCCTGCAAAGTCAGCCTGCAGACTCCGCTTGGGTTTGGGAGTGGACCTCGTCCTGCATAACTCGCTGCTGCTTGTCACTGCTGGGTCACTAGGCGACCTTTCTCTCCAGCCTGAATCCCAAGCCCAGCTTTCTGTCAGCCTTACCTTTATCTCCCTCCTAACACCTGCTTGGAGACTCATAAAGGGACCTGCAGCACGAGGGCTGCACGCAGCCCGAATGAGGAGCTCAGAGGGGCACCGCGAGGCGCCAGGCCTCAGCTGGTGTTGTCCAAAGAAAGGCACCTCTGGCAAACCGGGACTTTCAACTTCAAATAAGAAATCACCCAGCTCCCCCTGGTTTTCTGCCTTTTTCCTCGTATGTTTCACAGTGCAAAGGCTGCTGGCAGAGACCTTTAAAGGCTAGTGCTGCACAGGGCTGGTCAGCTGGAGACAGCCAGCAGCACTCTCCTTATTAGTTGATAAGTTCTGATCCTTTGTAAACAAATCAAAACATCTTTGTTACCTTTTGGAAGCCTGGCTGTTTTAGCTGAATGAGAAAGGAAAACTGTAGTAGGCAAGCAGCTTCCAAGAATAATTTACTGCAGCTTAGGCAAGAGAAAAAAATCGTGTTTTTCTACTTCTTTATCCAGTATCAGTACCATTATAAACGTAAGCACGCTTTGAAAATGAAGGCATTATACCCTCATGTTGAGTTTCCCTGGCATCTGTTTAATTAGATTTTAACGACTAGATTTAAATTCAAAACTTGGACCCAAAAGATAGCTATGTGATTATTGCTCATGCATACATTGTAAAGTTACAGAAAACATCTCATTAATTAGCCCATCAAAGATACAGTTATGGTCAAGTACCTGGACAAACACTTGATCCATTTCCCGGTGGAACAGTTACAGGTAGTTAGAAGCCTCTTTAGTTTCCGTTCTTCCCGACCAAGCTGTGTTACAGCAGTAGATAGTGGTGGCTGCGAGCAGCTGATGGCACTCCCGGATCTAAAGCTGTTGTTTCAGGCTTAGAAACTTCCCATTAAAACCCCGAGTTAAAGGGGCACTGTCTTTCTGTGCGAGGCATCATTAGCGGCCAATACAGCTGCTTCTTTGAGGCGAGCCATGATTTCAGTTCTGCCTCAGCAACTCTTCAGAGGATTCTGCTTCAGTGAGTAGAGGCAGTATCCTAGCAGTGTGTCTGAAATCATCTTCGAGAAGCATTAACATTCAAAAGGAGTACAGGGGAAAACATCACTGGGCATTCCCATACCTTTTCAAAATCAAAGCCATAAATCTACCAGCACTCTGTCTTCTTTATTGATTGTTGACATCATTCCTCTTTGGGGACATCAATTAGCACCTGCAGCAACCATCCTCCACATTGATTATGGTCTGTGACCTTCAGGCCAGCTCAATTAATGGACGGGAAGGGTGTCGGCTTAGCATTTGGGACTCGAAGACTCTTTTTCCTAAAGAAAACTAAAGTGACCTTTTAGAAAAGCAGTATTTATGGGGAGCAAGGAAGAAAGCACAATTTTAAAAGGATCAAATCATACTTTTACCGCCTGTTTATAAATTTTCTGGGCTTGAAGTTTCCAGGTCTGCTGATCCCTTGGTCAACTGGGATAATGGTGGCCTTGTCGGGTCCCCAGCCCACAACGGCCACCTGAGACCATCTGGTAAGGAAAAAGGGTAGACTTCTGTTGGGAGAAAGTCATTCTTCTCTGTGGACTCTAATTGCATGACACAATACTTAAATTACTTTCCTTGGATGTAGTACTTCAACAAATTTGGAAAATATTTTAAGATAAGACTCTTTTCTAAAAAAAATGATTCTCTGGAAAGAATTCAGCATAATCCTTAAGATTGGAACATCCTTGTTTTTTGGCAACTCCCCACAGTCTTTGTTGAAGTGTGAGCACAGTTAGCAACAACACGCCCGCCCACCCAATGATAGGGTGCATGATATTTAAAGCCACCTCTGTGCCTGTCAGCTCTGCCGCCTCCTCAGCCCTTGGGAGGAACCGGCCGCTACAGTGCGGCTCTGGGAGCCCGCAGAGTAGCTTCTTCCTGAGAAGAAAACCCCATCTGTAGGTAATAGGCCACAGTCCTAAAGAGGCCTCAGAAACTAAGAAGGGTCTTAAAAACAAATGCTAAGCATCGGGATCTAACATGAGAATCAAATGCTTTAGGTTAGACTCTAATCTCAAAGCAACAACAAAAAAGATGGTTCTCCATATGTTTTCCTGATTTTTAACCGAATTCTCTCTCCAGTTAGTTTTACTCACACTATTTTCACGTAAACACATACACACCCCACCCCAGAAAACACCATCATTAAATACTAACTGTTGTCTTTCGGGATTCCAGCCGGCCACAGTGCTCTGGTAGAGGGCACGCCCTACCTTGGCAATGCCAGTGGAGTGTGGTGACCCCACCCTTGCTTGTATACTTGTCATTCCATGTGGTCAGAAAGTAATGTAGTCAGAAATAAGCCTGCGTGACTCTGGCTTACCCTGCCAAAGAGGCCTCCTCAGATATTGTGTTAGCCTGGGGACTCTCTGAGGTAGAAGGGAGCCCGAGAGAGCTGGGGGATGTCCTCAAGCTATTCCACAGGCTGAAGCCTTCTCCAGTGTTAGAGGGTTGAGTGCTCGGCCTATTTTTAAACTCTCCAGCAAAGTAGATTCTATAGCCCCCTGTGACAACTTCTGTTTAAACTAACTTCTCCACTGCTTACACAGTATAAATGGGTTGGAGCATTTCTTTCTTTCTTTTCTTGCTGCGGAAAGCCAGTCATTAACCACCACATTTTTGTCAGAATGCTCTGTCTTCCCATGGAAGCTGGAACTGATAAACAAAAGACTATTTGATGACGATCTGGTATTATACTTGGAGGCAAATTCGGATAATATTTCTTTTAGAAGACAATTATAATCTCAATTATGGGAATCAGCCCTTCTTTCCCCCTATGCAGCTATAGTACATGAATCATCATGCATTCTGAAACAATGAATAAGGATTTATAAAACGCTATTTGAATCTTTCATAGTAGGTCCTGTGTCTTTAGTCTTTAATAATTTCTAAGAATCTTCTCTGCATTATTTCCAAAATTTCTGCTCTCTGGTTTGGCTTCAAACAATCAGGGAGCCCAAAATTGGAATTAAACAGGCTGATTTCATGATATATAAGCTGAGATATATATTAATATATGTTACACTTCTACTCACCCGCCCTGACCTCTGGGTCACTCCAGTGTGCTACTTTCGCCTTTCTCCTTAACCGACCACATCAAAAGTTAATGTTAGTTAGAAATTTACTTTGAGAGCTTTTTCTACTTTGTGATTTCAAATCTCATCTTTAAGATTCTTTAGCATACAACTCTTTCTTAAAAGTTTGATAATGTACTTTTCCATAAAGACACAGACAACAAATATGAAAAAGTCTTCATAAGCCATTGCAATTATTATTGTGTCTCTTCTGACTATGCCTAATTCTTTAAAAATGGATTGAATTCTTTTTTTTTTTTTTTTTTTTGGTTTTTCTCCGGTACTGGGAACCGAACTCACGACCTTGCGCTTGCCAGGCAGGCGCTTTGCCGCTGAGCTAAATCCCCAGCCCCAACTAAATCTCCAGCCCCTGGATTGAATTCTTGATGCAATCATCTTCAAGGTATAAGAGTGGTTTTTGTCACCAGGCACCCCCTCTTTGAGCATGTTCTTGCTTTCTCTTTTTCAGGAAACACTCAGCAAGTTCACACTTCCCTTCATATGTGGCGCCTATCTTGTGTCAGGTGTTGCAAGAATCTGCTCTGTGGGAGCGAGGGCCCTGCTTCACTTCTTTCGGTCTGTGTACCGGACTACTCTGAAGGGCCCTGAGCAGCCCAACTGTAGTGAGAACCACTAAGCTTCTTGACAGCCTTGCTCACCCTTACTGTGTTCCACTTCCTAGCCTTTCTGTTCCCTGCGGACCCCGCACACGTTCACTCTGTCTTCAGCTTTCTGTAGGACACGATTTCGCAAGCTCTCTAGTAGCTTCCACTTACCTCAAGCAAAAACCCCTTAATTTTCCATGCAATTGGCAGCATTGGACATGACCTGACACTCACCTTCAGGGAGACTCACATAGAAGATGGCTAAGAGTCAGACGCAGGTGGGCTACGGTAAGGGGCAGGAAGTGACACCTCCCTTCTTTCCTTACAACCTCTCTCTTGCCTTCCAAGGACCAAGCAGTGTAACTCATGCACCTCTGTGCACCCAATGTGCAGTGACCATGGAAAGGCAGCCAGATTGGACACATGTTTGTGAACCCACACTTTTAATTCAAACAAAAGCAGTCAATGTCACTTTATATGTGTTACTTTTATTTTTCTGTCTCCTTCGTTCAAAACTACTAAGTCAGTACACTATGTAATATAAAGCATTTTTTTAAAAGTCAAGATTAGTTCAGCTTCTAATATTCGTTTTGATTTTCTCAGGTCAAAATACAAGTTTATTCATGCACTCATCTATCTTCACAGGTCAGTGAGCACTCAAAACGCAGGAGAACGCTGGGGAAAGTGTAATGATATTCACACCAGCCTTGTCCATTAGGATCCGTACTTTAGCATCATTAAATGCAAGCAGGTGAAAGTCCAACTGCAGATTAGCAGCCTCCTGGTTTGATTTTTCTTGAATGCAGTTCTGCACACATTACATCTGTTTTATGTTGAATGCTCAATTAATAGCTGATGAATCTAGCATAGAGAAGTATTCAAAACGAAGTTGAGGAACAGACAACACTGTTACTCCGTGAAATGTATCTGAGAGAAAGAAAACACTGACAGAATTGAATACTTGTGAGGGTTTCAGATTGCCCTACAAAATTAAATTTGTCCATTTTTCCAATGTCAAAATAAAAAAGCTTACGGAAAGGAAACACATTATGCTCATAAAAGCTGATCTCAAACCAAAAGAGAAAATGATTTCACAAAATACACAGCAGTAGTTTTATTAGAGACAATATTTGCAATATTGTTGTTGTTAATTCTAATTCTAATTTGAAAGTGTAAGAACATCATTATGGATTATCCTTGTTCAAAAGAAATATTTTGGAGTTAACAGCCTGGTGGGTAATTTTATTCTTTTAAAGTGACTTTTACAATAATAATGACTTTCTTAATGGTTTTGAAATACTCAGTGCCTTTAAAATGTCATATAAAGTGCCAATTAGAGTTTCATATAAATGATTCCTCTAAATTTTTATGTCATCATTTTGGAACTGTTCTTCCCTTCTGTTCAACAGCTGCATTTTAGAAAGGAAACTATACTATGTGGACAGTATGAGCATGGAACAGCCCAGGACATTAAGGTAACCGAGAAAATGAAATAGAATATACTGGGAAATACTGACCTGTTAGCTTGACTTTAATACCTAACAAAATTCTGGAATTGAAACTCTTTCCACTGAAAAATCAATTTGAAAACACCTAGAGAACAAAAACTTCATATGAAGCACTTTTAAAAATGCTTGTTAAAAAAGAATCAAGAAAAACCAATCTCAACTTTCGATATTTGAACTTTGGCAATGGGGGAAAGGAGGCTCAGGAAGTAGCAATAAACAGAAGTTGTGAAATATGCTTATCAAATGCAAATTTCAGCTGCTGTACTGCTATATCTTATAAATGATGTGTTCAGTTGCTGCTTTTTAAATATTTCTACTGAAAAATATTTAAAAATATTTCAGTAGAAACAATCAACAATTTTAGCTATGTAATACATTATTAAAATAAACAAATATTGAGGTGAAATATTTCTTCTCTAACTCTATGCTCCATACTTTGATAGGAGACCTACCCTCTATACTTTTACTAATGAATAATATGTATTATATATTTATATGTAGTAAGTATATAAATATCATAAATCATCTATATTTTGCCATATATGACATTAAATTGCCATATAAGCTTGTTAATCATACATATTTGGGGAGGCTGAGGTCCAGATAATTTAGTTCAGTCAAGCCAAGAATCTGTGGTTTGAATAAGAAACCTGCATGATTAATGAGGTAGGGAATCTGAAGTCTATACTTTGAAAAATTATATAGTTGAATGTTTTTCTTCCTCCTTGATTATTTGGCCATAATAACCATTTTAACTATATAAGAAAGGCACTTGAGTTTAAGATTTTACATGAACAGGCCTCTTTGAAAAACTGACTAACTCCATGAACTCAT